CTGTATGGGTTGATTGTGCGTTGATCTGTTGGATAATGCATAATGCTGCGCTATACTTTGTGGCCTCACCCAGTTGCATAGCGACACTTATTGTTTAGGTGTCTTTTAATAAGCAGGTAGTCATATCATTAGCTAGAACTAGCTGGATCTGATCGATATGGACATAAACGCGAGTGAAGTCTAATCTGACGGGAGAGAGAGATCAGCTGCTGCTGACGAGTCGACACGCAGTTCTGCATGATCACATGCAGCGGTGAGCGGACAAAACACACACCTCAGGTTAGAATATCACACGTAGCTATTTTAATTACTGTACCTCTCAAACTACCGTAACTAGTTATAGATATGTTTAGTTTTACTGTCGGGTCACTCATTACTGGATCCGCGAGCTGCATGATACTGGCATAATAGATTGCCCGATCGGGCAACCAGCAGGTGAGGCTTCATTGCCCGAGCTAAATACTAGATGGCCCCGGGCCATCGGGCAGCCCTTAATGTCGAGCCCTGAACAACCAACATAATTATTATTTGGATAATAACGGGGGAGAAATGAGCGGAAGCGCTTCCTTTTCCTCTCTTCCCCTCTCTCTCGCTCTCTCTCCTGACAGCCCGTCAGCATCCGTCTCATGCAGCTCACTGATTCAGTAATGAGTGACCCCACAGTGAAGAATAAACATATTTATAACTAGTTTAGCTAGGCAGAGGTAGATAACATAGCTAAGTGTGTTAGGTCTAACTCTTATTGTGTGTTTTTCTCCGTTCACCGGTCCGTCACAACGGGTGGAGCTGCAGGATTTCTGCTTCATCAGTTGCATACCGCTATTTTACTGTCTTTTTTGGCGGCCGATCGATCGGAGCATCCCTATTAGGAAGGATATAATACTGTATGCCATTTAACACTTGTGTCTTTCCCTTTCTGACATTAATGTGCTACTGTTTAGCTATAATGGAGAGGAAAGTCAAGTGTTTCATGGTGCGCAGCAGAGCCTCAGAAAAATTGCCGGTCACAAAAAGTAAAACATGATTTAATGATACTTGAAATACAAATCTGATAATCCGGGTGAGTTTCGATGTTTATTGTGATTGGCAACACTTGAATAACTAATTTACATCATTCATATTTATATTAAAATATTCTTAAAGTGTGTTGCCCAGAGGTGACAGCAAAGGCCTCCATAAAGGAGATTCATATTAGACCATACTCTCCCATCAAGTTAAGAATCTTGAGCAGTAACTCTTGTGTTGACAGCTTTTAAAACTGCTTCCACTTGAATTTGAACTCTGACTTCTTGAGAGTCTTAGAGGAAGTGTTTCACATGGCTGATGCATAAATCTATTGGACCAGTCCTCCATTTCATCAAACTTATGATTGACTGTGAGTTAAAAAAGTTAGGAGCAGTGTTTTCTCTGGTCGTTTATGTATTGGGTAATGAAGCTTTCTTCGCACTATAATCTTTATTTGTTTCAAGTAAAACAACAATTCTCTTGATTACGATGTATGCCTGTGGCTAGAGTTTAAGGTGGTTCTGTATATGGCTCCATTGTTGATGAGCACTTCTATTTTAACACATCACTTAAAAACACGTGGAGATGTCTGAACCAAACGCAGTGTAGCTCGATTTACAAGCTTCTTTACAGTATATATAGTAATGTATCCACTTGTGTCTTTGGGTCTATTATATTTCTATTATCTTTTCAATGTTTAGTCGTATCTAGCCATGCCGATGGCACCACCGAAAAAAACAACAACGTTCAAATCCATCATTGTATTGGAGGGAAAGCATCCATCTAGAAACAGAAATAGTGGACTGTATGTGCGTTGCTGGATACTAGAGGTGAGAACCTTTGTTTTTAAGGGGCCCTATTATGCCTTTATGGCGTTTCTCTTTGCTGAAATGTGTTTTTGTACATGTAAATGCTCTGCAAAGGCTAAAATCCAAAAGTTCCCTGCCAACTATTAGATTTTTTTCATTTTTACCTAATTATTTTCCTGTGTTTCGGACATTTTAGGCCCTTTGACAAAGTATTTGGGCCCCACCTTCCCTCAGCCAATAAGCAGGGTGTACAGCCTGTCCTCACTTTGTCATGCCCCTCGGCCCCTGAATACAAAGCGGTGAAGAACGGGCTGTTACATTGCTGTGTTTTATCTTCGCCGTTTTTCTGCCTTTCTCTCTCCTCAGCTGTGTACAGAGCGGTTGCTGTGTGCTGCTGTCGGCATGTCGTTCTGGCCGAGCCGAGCCATGCTCTCATGCAGAGCTGACCGGCCACAGCAGGATGAAGCATGTGCTGTAAATGCATTCATTCAAAATCTGGCATTTTCTCACAGGTTTGTGTTTGTGTGGGTATTTGTGCAATGTGCATATGTAACTGGCATGAAACAATCAGACAATAAAGTTTTATTTCTCAGATGTATTGCTTTGTTCTTGCTAACGACAATTCACACTCAAGCTCGCTCAACCACCGCTGCTCTCTCTCTCTCGTCCCTTGAGCCCTGGAGGAGGGGCCAACTTTGAGTGCTGTGTGTTTACAAACAACAACTGACAAAGCCATATAGTCCACCGTCAAGATTGGATTTCCTACACTGTTGAGGCCAAGGCTATTCCATTTAATCTTAGAGAAGGGCTGACTCCTAGTGACATTGGATTGCAGCAAATCGGTCCCTTGGCGTGTGTAAAATATATTTGGCTAATAAAGGGATCCTATATTATTATTATTAGATGAGAAAAAATACAGTACTCTACATAGCATCTCTGTGGCAAATTAGCAGGTTATGTTAGTGAACAGCTAAGGCAGTGGTTCCCAACCTTTTTCAGTCAGGCCCCACTTGTGTAATTGGAAACATTTTCGAGCCCCCCCCTAACCCGGTTCCCACCGAGATTGGTAGAATTAATTGTATATAGTCGTACAAACATTACATTTTCTCTGCTAATAATAACAAGACAAAAAGATCCAACTATACTATATATATTTTATATTTTATTATGGATTGAACATGAACAAAAGTGCTTGTATTGGCAGATGATCCTGTGCCACTGTGAAATAATGAGGCCTAATTGAAACAAATACAAACACTGCTTATCAATCCGGTTCTTTAACAGTATTTTTTTATTTTGTAGGGGAAAAACTAAACAAATTACAAACATAATTCACATTGATTTATGTTATGTATGGTGTGGATTATGGGCTGCTAGCACACAACATACCTGCAGTGGTGGTAAGTAGATTTACTCAAGTACTGTACTTGTATTTCCACTTTTTCTTCTTTTTAATTCTGCTCCTCTACAGTCCAGAGGTAAATGGTTTTCTTGACTCCACTGCATGCATTTAATATCTTTAGTTACTTTACAGATGTGGATGAATGATCTTAAATCAGACTTTAGTTACACCTGGAGTAAATTCACAAGCTACCCTGCAGTATACTACTTTTACTTAAGTACTTGATCTGAGTATTTCTCCCACCTTACTTGTAATTGGGGCAACAGAACTCTGAGTTAAGGAAGTTTAAAATGGTGCATTTCTCCGTATGAATAGGATGCTTTTTGGCCAGCTGGTGGACAGATTGCTCGTGTTTCTGCAAAAATATTTATGGCAACATCGAGCTCTGTAGATTAGATTTTTACACTTTTGAACGCTATGGTCTATGGTCTCCAGTGGTGTAGTGGGGATTTTTTTTACTGGGTGGACGCTATTTTAATTAGGTCATCCCAAACAATGCCACAAGTGCACACAAAACGGGCAGACAGGTCTACAGAAACTACCGGTATGCTTAGTCGTTTTTATTTTGTATTATGATTACTGTGAAATGCATTATGTTTTCGTCATTATTACAACAATACACACTTGCAACTGATAACACTGGCAATGATTTTATATTTATATGACTATTAAAAAAAAAAAATCATGCTTCAAAAAAGTGGGGGCTCAAAATAAGTGGGGGAACGACGATCCCTGATGGTCTCAACCGGCGGATCTCTGTGTGCACGGCGTTGCAGCAGTGCAGCGAGTCTGTGAGGCCCCGCCCCCCACACAGGAGCGAGGAAGAGAGATCTCCCCACTGGTAGAGAACATATTTGTATTATTATTTATTTAAATATAAAATCTATATAAATAACATCTATACAAAGTTTAGGCCAGTTTTCCAAACTCGGTATAGTAACATGATGATATTCGAAGGAACAAATTGTCTTGACACCTAAAGCAGGGGGAATTTGATGTTAAGTTTAAAAATCCAGGCTGTTTTTCAAGAAGTGCTTTGTATGCAAATGCTGTGCCTTTCTTTTCTCTCAAACAATAAACGATGATGCATTCTACAGCCACGTCCAGGTATAAACCTAAGGGCCATATGATGGACTAGAGTGCATACAGTGCAGTAAATTACATTGCCGTTTAATTTACTGCTCTTTATTGCTTGGACAGCTTTAGTTTGTAGTAAGTGCGCAAATTCATATTATTAATAGTAAGAAAAATCAACAGGTATTAGATTACTAACCCAGTAGAATATGAAGCCGGTAAAAGTGTGCCTGATGTTCACCAGCCATACATTAAAGTGATGGTTACACATTAATCGACTGTATTTATAAGCAGCATTATGGGATGAAGACTGAGGAGATCGCAGTGTGTGACCTTAGTCCGGTAGATAAGTATCGATGAACCGCTACATATACTCATTCCTACTTAAGATCATAAAGCTTCTCAACCCTCCCATGTAATGGAATATGGATTTAATGGCCATGTTGTTCATTAGGTTGCCCTTGTAGTTATTAACATTTACCCATTCTTGTTTTTTTCTTAAATGTTGTTACTATTATAACAAATATGGCTCAGGTGGCTTTGCCGAAGATACTACAGAAGAGATGGTTTTGTGTTCCTTTTCTTTTAGATTTTGTTATTTGTAAAATCCCCAAATATGTGATCTGTAAGTCAGAGTCTCAGCAGCACACACTTCTCACAGGCTAAAAACAGAAAGTGGTCTATTTATTTACTCGACTGGAATGTGTTTTTCATGTCTGCAGCTTGTAATCCTGTAAAAAAAACAACAACAGTCAAACATCTCAGTTTGTTCATACTGCAGGCCCTTGTGTTGTGGCTGTCATGTTGCACAAGGACAAGATAATGATGTATGTGCAAATGAAACATGCCCC